GGTGCACATGGATGCTGCTAAGAGGGTACTACGCTACTTGTGCAGTACATCGGGCATGGGGCTCGTGCTTGGAGGACGGAGCGACGTTGTCCTCACTGGGCACTCAGACGCTTCTTGGGTTGACGACCAGGCTACGCAGCGGTCGTCACAGGGTTACACCTTCAGCCTTGGCTCTGGTTCGGTTTCTTGGCGTTCTACACGCTCGTCTTCAGTTCTCAGCTCCAGTTGTGAGGCTGAGATCTACGCCACAGCCATGGCTGCACAGGAGTTACGCTGGCTCACCTACCTGCTGTCCGACTTGGGAGAGCGGCCTCGTTCTCCTCCAGTGCTGTACGTCGACAACAAGGCCGCCATTGCCTTGTGTCAGGAGCACAGACTGGAGCACAGAACGAAGCACATCGCTCTGCGTTACTTCTTGGCTCGAGAGTTGCAGCAGCGTGGTCAGCTTCGTCTTGCTCACGTGGCCACTCGGGCCAACATTGCTGATATATTCACCAAGGCGCTTCCGTCTTGTGATCATCAGCGTTTCTGTACTCTGTTAGGCCTTGTGCCCACGTTTCCTCCCTTGCTGTAGACTTTGCTTGTACTGTGATATATATATATATATATATATACCTGCATGCTTGCTCTGCTAGGTAGAGATCACTGTGCTGTTGTTGTTGCATATATACCCCTGCATGTGAACTGGCCTTGTGGCCCTTTGCTTGTGCTCAGTGTGTGTGGTGACGTTGTGATCCACCCTGAGCTTGCTTTGCTTCTCTTGCTCTCCCCCACTTTGCCTATGGGGGTGTGTCAAAGCATATGCTTGTTATTCATGTGTAGGCTGTAGTGGGGTAGCCAATATGGGGTACAGCTCGTTTTAGGGTTTCATACTTGTACCCAACTCTGTGATAGTTCATTCATTCTTGCTGCTAGATTCGGACATGTACATCCCCTGCAACATCTGTACACCCTTTACAAGCCTATGCAGCAGCTTGTTTTGTTGTGAAGGAAGAGAGCGCATAGCATAGCACGTACGTGTCCAACTACCGCTTATACATGCCTAAAGCAGTGTGGGAAGTACTCCAATGAGAGGCAGCAGGTACATGAGAGTAATCACCAGATATCTAGGCCAGGGATACCCCAACTCGTGATATCTGGTGATCACCCTAAACCCAGTACATGGCAATGGCATACCCCAGCTTGTGAGCGCTGTACCTCTCCCCGTATGCCTCAAGTCAAACTACAGCCCTTTTCCACCTAAAGCAGTGTGGGAATGATTCTAAACAGGGGCAAAAGGTACATGATAGCAATCACCGCATACTGAGGCACAGTGTACAAGAAAATGTCGAGACTTAGCTTGCGAGCACTGTATCTCTCCCCGTATGCAGCGCGAAAGACCACCCACACTGTGCCAAGTGCTGCTGCTACTGTGCCGCCTTCAAACAGCGTGCAGAGAAACATGGACGTGATAAATGGGGGCTGTGATTGTAACGAGGGGGTGGGAGAGAGAGGAAGAGGGGAGGAGGAGGGGGGGGGGTTGGGAGGTGGGAGAGGGGGTTGGAGTGGGGAAGAGAAGATGGGAGAGAGGGGGAGTGTTTGGAAAGCGCATGGTGGTGGGGGGCATGGGAATGGCAGAAAGGATGAGACAAAGACTCTGCACCTGACTCATTGTTATTTTCATCTTCTTCTCCCTCGTAGCCCTGACCTGATTACGAGGGGCTTGCATGGAATCAACTGTACGAAGTACGAACTGCTCGATAAAGGCGCCTCAGAGTAAGTATCAACTGCGCTTCTAAGGGTCAATCACGTACGAATTGCTCGACAAAGTTGGCCTGCACACGGATCACGCGGTCGAAGTCGGGATTGCCAGACATGCGGGGCGCGAAAATGCGGTGCTTGATGCGCGCCGCGCGGATGCCGAGAAGAGTCTGCGGGGGGTTAAGAAGGAAGGGGGTGTGGGAGGATGGAGGGGGAGAAGGAGGAGAGGAAGTATGGGGAAGGAAGTTGAGGGGGGGAGAGAAAGGAAGCATATGGTGCATGAAACACCCACCTGGACACGAGCTTGCAAGGCTGTCATGTGGGAAAAACTGATACGGGTGATGGACGCGACCCGCTAGCCGTCCATATTATGCGATTTCGGATATTAGCAAAGAGGTAGACTCCACCTCTCGGAGAGGAATGAAGGGAGATCGAAAGAATTTGGAGGTGGACGACGCATGGGGTGACCTAGTAGTACCCGCATGTAGACGAGGTGAGCCGCGAATGCGACGAGTGCTGGTAGCTTGAATTCCTCGCGCAACGCGAACAACGCCGCTGTGTTTCCCACCATTGTAGGCTCGAGAGTAACACAGTTGTAGGTCTATTTGCACGACGGGACGGCCAGATCAGCGTCTCAGAGCTTCACGACCTGATTCTAAAGAGGAAGAACGAATCGGAGAGGATCCATAGAGGAGGATAACTGATAGGGTGTGGGTCAATCCAGCAAGCAAGCCCAGCGCGACACGCCATTTTCTGTTGCGGAAATGCGTCGGAAAGCAGGAGAGTAGCAGTGGGAAGCTGCGGAGGGTGCGAAAGGGGAAATTACGAGATTATCATTGGGTATAATTGGGAATCGAGGGAGTGAGTGACAAGGATATGTAAACTATTTCTGATTGTGATATATACCAATGAAGGCCTAGACCAAGGGGCTTAGCTAGACGATGACCCCAAAAGTAGATGTTTGGACAGTTGGGTGCACCAAGTATGAAGTAACCTAGGGGCGATTTGACATCATCCCTAATATTGGGGTTGTATGTGATGTAGCGTGCACGCACGGTTTCTCAATTTCATCATCATAAATCTGCACCTGAAACTTAGAACCACAAGGAAAGGGGGAAATATTTGTTAGGTAGTTACATTTAGTAAAAAATGAAATGGAACCAGCCGTATATGTTAACTCTCCAACATGTGCATGAAGCTTGACTCGAGTTCTTTCAGGCAAAATCATTGCTCTATTTGTGCAAATATCGTGGTTATTCATAAAGGGTACATCCCACACAACTCAAAAATGGGTCCTTGGATGAACATAGAATGGTAAATGACTCTACTGTCATATACGTGTTAACAATTGAATTGCAGAGGTAGTCAGTTACACTGAATACCCTGCCAAGAACCAAGCTGGTCTAATCGAGGGCAGACTTGCACGCGCTTGTGAAAAGTGCGCAGAACTGTTCGTCGAACTGAAGCAGAGTGAAAGTTCAGTCTGTTTCTGTAACACGTGAAGAATGAAATCGTGCACATCAGATTTGTCTCCTTTTGGCATTCCCCTGTCCAGTAGGCCTTGACATTGGGACTGTGTGGGATTCGCATTGAATCCGCCAAGATTGTGGGACTGTAGTATTTCCTCTCGCCGAATCAGAGGCTTTCTTTTACCACAACAGTTCCAGCAGCTAATCCGTGGCCGTCTAAAATGTTCAAGAAATGATGCCCCTTGCCGACGTCGAATGGAAAGCCCTGCCTGATCAGATTGCCTTTTCGGTTGGAATCTGATGTCAATGTTTGTCAGGTTTCAACTACCTCAACCAAACATGGCTACACTTAGTCCGCGGTATTTTAACCGCCGGTATCGTAACCAAGTTTGTCGGCACGCTGGGCGTTTCTTGTTGGGTGGCCAGAAATCGCTGTTCACACTCGCCAAGCCTTTTTTTGATATTTCAGCTGGCGCCGTCCACGTGGCAAGCGAATTTCCCCATCCGAATTTTCCAAAAAGAATCGTTACCGTCGATGTTTTACTTTCCCGACTCTGGAACATTCCAGATGGCGAAAAGAGCCGAATTGCTCCTTTTGAGTAGTGCTGTCAAAACTTTCCATGCTGTTCAGATATTTGGTGGTGAAAATAATGACCGAAATTTTGCACCCTTATCTTCACCACGGCCAGATAATCCAAAATCCTGCTACCCATTTTCGCGCGGTTAAAATACCGCGGACCAGGTGTAGCTCAACCCTGCTGCAGCTCACTCACACCACCCTTTCGTTTTCAGCCACCCTGCCATTTCAGAGTTTCGGCTGAACGCAAGCCCGCCAGTCCAGGTAGCGCGCTGAAACGCCCAGACCTTCCGGGGTTAACATTCCCGCGACCCGCTTACCACGGACTGATTTTCGGAGGCAGCCTCATTTCTTGTCTGATGTGCTGGGCTATGCTTCCACTTCTTCAACGACACCATTTTGTGCGTGGAATGGCACATTTGCACTCCACATTTGTCAGGTTTCCAGGCCTGCCTCATGAGACTAGGTAAAAATCAAAAGAGGATTTTGGGTTGAAACAACGTAAACGCGTCTTTGTGGGTTGGTCAGAACGAGAGTCAAGCTCCCCTGTTAGGCCCCCTAGACTAAAAAACGGGTTCCCAAATTCGGAATGAATTGGGTGGTCCCAGCTTGTACACGTACAGGTCACCCACCACTCCAGTTTGTAGGACCTTGGCAACCGCAGTGGTTTCGAAGGGGGGTACGTACACCGAGTGTACGTACACCGTGTAGTTTCTTCGTCAGTCGATTTGTTCCAACAACCACCCTACACGCGCAAAATGAGTACATTACGTGTACCTTTTGTATTTTTTCGGCCCGAATCGTCGATTACGACGGACATTCCAAGCTTCGGGGAAAGTTTCTCCACAGAAATGATGGGAATGCTCCTCTCCCCGCGTAAAAGTTGGGACCAAAATTCAACGCGCTTTCGGGCATGGATTCGCAGATTCGACACCTTCTGGCAACACGCTTCGATTTGGCCCACAAGCACACCCCCTCCCCCCTCACCGCCCTGTCCCTCCCGTCCTCCTCAACCAGCTGGCAGCCCTCCATTTGGCCCTTTGGCCTTTGAACCTAAACAAGAATTGAATTCTTTTTTGCCGCTCGCTGTACTCACACATCAAATGGGGCCCAGATTCCTAAGAAGAGTCGTCGTGAGCCGAGTTTCTGTGTGACAAACAGCCGTGGTTTCCGTACATATAACTCGCAGTGACGAAGCCTAGCGTTTCCGATAGATGTCCCTTCCAGCCTTACAGTACCAACGATTCCATTCTTTTACTAGTTCCCCATTCGGAATGATCGCCGTCAACGCCAACGACACGTTTTACGCTGATCCATTATCCGCTCCATTCCTCCTTTCCGACAGCGCCACCACCCGCGCCGCACCACCACCAACTTCTTCGGGTATCGACCCAAAGATATTACTAAGATCACACACTATGCGCGTCTCGAACGAACTCAGCAGCGACATGACGGCGGGTGAGCTCGAGGACATTATTCTCCGCGCCGCTTCGTCGTCTGCCGTTCAGAATGGTGTAGCTTTGCCATCATGGTCGCTCGACTTTGCATCGGATGCCGTGGTTCCCGCCGCGACCGCCGCTACCTCAGCTGGGGGGATTGGCGGCGGATTCTCCTACTACTACACCGCCCAGGCCGACGCAGGGTCACTTCCGCAGAGCACGACGCAAAACGCGCCGCAGAACACGGCGCCACAGCAGTATCACCAGGAGTGGTCGAATGGCGGCGCGTGGACGAACAGCGGACGAGAGTATCAGGCGGAAAACGCCACCTGGGTTCCAGCTGATTTTCAGGAAATCCGCCGGCAAAACGCCAGTACTATAGCCACGGCATTCCATGGTCGCACGGACGACGATTTCGCAAACGGCGGCGAAGGCATCGAGCAGCCTTGGTCGCACGGGGCCGGCGCCACCGCCGCCGCCAGCGCCGCAGCTAGCGGTGGTAGTCACGCCGCAAGACACGGCGGCGGCGGCGGCTTTGATCCCAGCCATCTTCCCGCCATCCTCCGCTCCCTCACGGCGCACCAACAGGCCGTTGAGGCCCTCGCGCCGCTCGCTACCGAGTCGCGACGGCAGACTGGTCAGTGGGATGGGCGCGCCGGGGAAGGCGCCGTCAGCGCCGCTGCCGGATGGCGCAGTTCCCCCAGCCTGGCCGCGGCGGCGGCGACGACGGCGCCTCCGCCGCCGGGTTTTCTGCCAACTGAAGGCGTTTTCCCACCGCTTCCCCTCACGCGACAGGTTCCCGCAGCTTCTTTCCAGTGCATCCCCCCTTCCGCCGCGCTCGCCGCCGCTTTCCCCGCCTCCTCCTCTTCCGCCTCATCCGCGCACCTTGCTGCATCCGTCGCCGCTTCACTCGCCGGCAAGCGGCTAGCTCTGGTAGCACAGGACGGCTTGGCAGGAGGCGGGACGAGTTTCGAGACGTCTCAAGAGCAGAAACTACCGCAAGCAATCGGAGACGTCGGTGTGGTAGGTGGCGGGATGGTGGCGGAAGCGAGTGCGAAACTGAGCGCGGAGCAGAACCCGAGCGCCATTGACGCTCTGGCCTCCATGATCCTAGTTGCTGCAGCCGCGGCGGGCGGGCAAGGTGGAGGACTCGCGGGACAGCCACAGGGGATGGGCGGCGCCGGCGCCACTGGCGGCGGTATCGATGGCCCCGGTAGAACGGGGGAAACGTGGGAAGGAATTGGGGGAGGAATGGGTGGGGGAATGGTTGGGGGGATGATTGGGGGAGTGGTGGGGGGAGAGGGTGACGAGTGGCGCAATGGTGGCTTGGCGGGGAAGGAGGAAGCGTATGAAGCTGGGGGTATGGATGGGGATAAAGCTGGGTATGGGTATGGATATGGGGATGTGGATGCTATACTGCAAAGGAGGAACACGGCAAGCAGCGGCACTAGGAACACGAGGAGAATGGGGAACATGGGAGACATGATTGTCAGTGCCAGTGCTGGTGCTGATGGTCACTGGCACTCTGCTACTGCTACTGAGACTGGCACTACCAACGTCACTGCCACCGCCACAGCCGGCGCTGCTGCGAAACGAGTCCGCCGAAGCAGCAGCAGCGGCAGCGTGCCGCCCCCCCTGCACCACTCCCACGAGGACACGTGTCCCGCTGCTGCTGCTCTTGAGAGTGCTCAAAAGTGCCATGCTGCTGCTGCTGCTGCAGCACCGTCTCCCCTAAAGTCCTCCCCACAGACGCTACGCCTGCCTGCTGCTGCTAGCGCAGCCTTGCCTCTTAACGTGCAACTCCCACTGAGCCTGCAGCAGCAGCTGCAGCAGCAGCTACAGCTACAGCACAAGCTACAGCTGCAGGGGCAGCAGAGCAATCTGAGTGGCAGTGTCAGCGGCGGTGGCGGTGCGAGTGGCGGCGGCGCAAGCGGGGGTGCTGCGAGCGGCGGGGAGGGGCGTGCCTGGGGTGGCACCAACACCACCACCACCACCACCACCACCGTCTCTCTTGGGGGAATGACCGTTGCGGTTTCTGGAGCGTTCCCCCTGCACATTCAGGCGCCCCCTAACGCCCCCTCGGCTTTTGAGACGTCTCAGACGGTTTCTGGAGCGTTCCCGCAGCACATTCAGACACCCCCTAACGCCCCCTCACCCTTCCCCACCTCCCCGCCTCCTGCCGCCACTCCCCCTCACCCTCCTCGTTCCTCTTTCCCCCCCAGCGGCCCCTCGGACTCACCACTAGTGGATGAGAAACCAGATGCAGTGGCACAAGCAGCGGCTGATGCTGGTGTGGGCAGGAAGCGGCAAGTGAGAGAGGAGACTCGGAAACGCGGACGGGGAAGCGAGAGAGGCGGGGGAGCGGCAGGGGGGAGGCAGCACAGGGCGAGTGAAGGGACGTGGGAGGAGGGAGGAGCAGGGAGGAGAAAGCAGCAGGGTGGGGTTGAAGCGGCGTGGGAGGTGCGGGCGAGAGACGGGGCTGCTGGTGGGGCTACTGCTGCTGTGGGGGGTTTTGAGGAGGGGGAGGATGCAGAGGGAACACGAGTTTTGGGACGGGTGTCTGGCGCGTGTCTTGCTGCAAGGGTGAGTTGGCACAACCCTGAAGCGCCTCAGAAACAGAATTCGAGTGGGATGGAAAACGCACTGTTCCCTGTTTTCCTCGCTCTGCCTCCGCCCACCCTCTCCTCTCCTCTCCTCGCAATCCGCAATCCTTTATCTCTCCTCCCCACTCCCTTCTTCCCCTTGCAGAAGCGGAGGGAGCGCATAGCGAGTCAGATGCGCACGCTGCAGCGGCTGGTGCCGGGCAGCAGTCGAGTGGACACCGTCTCTGTTCTCTCTGATACCATCCGCTTCCTCTGCAGCCTCATTCACCAGATTCAGGTGCGTGCAGGGCACATACACACCTATCGCAGCATTTCTCCATGTAGCTCCTACCATAATCTGAAGCTCATGATCCGACGCTCATGATGTGACGCGCTCATGATGTGACGCTCATGATCCGACGCTCATAATCTCAAGCTCATGCACTGCTGCTTCTGTCTTTCAAGCAATGACACACCCCCCTCGCTTGCCGCTATCGTTTTCTCTTTCTCCCTGTGGCAGTCGCTAGGAGCAGAGCCGGAAGGATATTCCACCACAGAGGCGGCAGAAGCAGCAGCAGCAGAGGTGCAAAAGCTGATTCGAGACGGCGTCATAGCAAGCCATCGCCCTGTAGCCAATCAGAGGGCTCCTTCTCAAGGTGTCACAGCGGCAGACCCGGCTGTAGCAGCAGGGGCGGCTGTAGCAGCAGACGGGGCTATAGAAGCAGGTAGGGCTGTAGCAGCAAGCGGGGCAGTAGCTAGCCCCAACGCCCCTCAAGGCAGCACACACACGTCCTCCCAGGGGCCCTCCCAGTCGCTGCTACCAACTGTCTCCGCCACATCACCCTCCTTGGATGAATCCCTGGCACGTGGCGACGGTGATGCTGATGCTTATGGTGGTGCTGATGCTGATGGCAGCTAGTCACGGGCCTCACACATTGTCACGTGGACACTCCCAGTCGCTGCTACCAACAGTCTCCACCACATTACCCTCTTTGGATGGATCCCTGGCACCTTGTGGTGCTGATGCTGACGCTGATGCCGATGCCGATGGCAGCAAGTATGGCGACGGAGGGGAGTGAGATGAGATGGTTGCATAGAGAATAGTGCCTGGTCGCTTACGCACAAGGATGCCTAGATCGGTCCTGTACATATCACTAGCAGCTCTTGCTGAAACCCATTCATTCATTTGTTGATGATATGCTGCTTCATGTCACATGTATCCATCCAACACCCACTGCTCCACCTGTATCCTACACCAACTCCTCCACATGGACCGTATCCTGTACTCAGTGCTCCACACGTATCATATGGTCTTGCTCCATCTGTATTCTACGCCCTTGCTTGTGTGCTGCACCATGCAACTTCAAATCAAGTGTATGATACCACTGCCGCCAGTTCTCTTGAAGGGTCCTCCTCCAATGCTCCTTGTAGCTCCTCCATCTGCCCATGGGAGAAGGGGGGACATACTCAGAGAATGAATACAGCACGACACAAGCAAGCGCGCACGATGATATGATGTCTATTGAATACGGAAGCGTGGACTGCTTCAGCCGCAGATCCGACAACCTCCACCACGCCCACGTTTCCCCTTCCCCCGTTGCAACAGCTGCTTGCTTACAACGCCCAGCCCACATCCACTATCCACATGCAGCGCAGCACACCCTTCTTTCCATGCGCTGTCACCACTGTTTCCACTATCCAGGTTGGTACTCACCGTGTGCAGCAGCAGCGCGAACTGCTTCCGCCGCAGCTCCACCACCCGCCCCGCGCCCACGTTCTCCGCCTCTAGCGCCTCCACCTCCGCCTCCAGCGCCGCGATCCGCGCCTCCGACACCGCGCGCGCAGGCTGCGCGGCGATCTGCCGCCGCACCAGCTCGCACTCCTCCTCGTGCTGCCGCTGCCTCCGCGCCTCCGCCTCCTCCGCCATCAGGCTATCCACTCGCGCCACCGCCTGATGTTGATGCGCGCGGGAGGGAGGGGAGGGGGAGGGGAGGACGGAGAGGGGAGGGGGAAGGGAAAGGGGATGGGATGGAGAGGAATGGGGAGGAAGGAGGGCGAATTGGGATAATCGGTCGTGGTTGAGACGAGGAATTGACGCGGAAAACGGACGAGGAGGATTCGACGAGGAGGAATTCCGGAGTCGTCACAGAGTTATCGCACCTCGATAATATCCGCTTCTAGCTGTTTCGTCAGCTCGTGAAAGTGCTCCTGCTCCCTGCGGTTAGCGTTGATCACGGCGCGAGACATGGCGAGCGGCTGCTCAAATCCCGCCAATTCGTGCAGCACGGAGCGCGCTAGTCTCTCGCAGTCAATTATGCTGCTGTCGGGCCGCACCGCTTCTGACGTGAAAGCGAGGAACTTCTTTAGGAGTTTTTTCATCGGCGGCTCGCCGCGAGTGACGGAGGTCCGGGTGAGCAGCCGCTGACGTATGATGGCGTCATCTTCCTGCGGGCCTACCGCGAAATGCGCCGCCATGAGCGCAAAACACGAGGATGCTTTCGGGTCGATAAGAGGCCAAGTACGAACCGCGGTTGCTGGAAAAGTGCTAAAACAAACCGCAGCAGTTTTTGTAACTCAAACTCGAGGTTGACACATCGTCGTCTGACAGTTTTTAAAATAATCACCAACTCGCTGCTCCGAGCACCGTCCCGATCCGTAGCTAGACAATGTGGATTAGCAAACGAATCCCTAATTACCTAGAACGGTATCGTGCCTGTAGTTGTAACGGCTCTTGAATTCAAGCTCTGATCTGGAACCCTAATACGCAGAGCACACTAAAGGAGCCTGATTCAGCAGAAATAGTGCTGGCCGCTTGACACTCACGCGAAGTTCTCGATGTTGCGATATAAGCGTCGCTTCGGTTGGAGTAGAAGTGTCTGTTCACACTTGCACTTCCCGAAAAAGGTACTGTATTTAACATGCTCTGTTGCGTCGAGTTTCAAGTTTTAGGAACAGCTGGCTCGTCTGGGAAATGTTTCGGTCGGTGGGGAGCAAGAACACGTCAGCTGTTGACTGGTCATATGCGGGGTGCAAAACAGAGCCACATCACCAGTGAACCCCCCCTAGACGAGTCGCGCCATGCAGCTTCATGAAACATGGAAATGTTCGCTGACGCTGCAAACTGCCGCGGCCCAACTTGCGATCGCACCCTCGGGCCCGTTTCCCTTGGGAGTTCCAAACCAAATCAATTTCAGATTCCAACTTTCTCCTTCATCTTTCCATTTCTCATTATCACTCACCTCATTCACCACTTATCTTCCTTCCATTTGTCCCAGTAGCACCGACGCTGCTGGCTTTGCCTGTCGCGTTACTAGGATTCGCGACGGATCTGCTTGCGTGGATTTCTTGAGGTGAATTTTGAAGGTTCTCGTTCGAACCACACAGCACATCAGGCATCGCCGTTTCTGAGGCACCTCAAGCATTCTCAAGTCATTCGTTAGAATCAGGCGCCATACCAGGCATCGCCATGGCTGACGCGAAGACGCAGACCCTCCGCGCGTGGCTGCACTCCGCCGTGGAGTCGCGCGGCGATGCGGCGGCCATCGTCGTCACGCAGGGAGGCCCCACCGTGACGCACGCCGCGCTCGAGGCGGCGGTGGATGCGGTGGCGGCGCAGCTGAGGGCTCTGGGAGTGCGACCCGGCGATCTCGTATCCCTCGCTTTCCCGAACTCGCTCGAGGTACCCGTCAGTGGTTGTCGTGCAAGTTTCGCAGACTTAAACGCGCTGTGCAATTTCAGTCTTGCTTATAATTTGCGGTCATAATCATCGCAAAACAGTTTCGCATACCCTGTCCTTCAATTTCATTCCAAATCATCCATAAATACTTTTATTTCCTGATGTCAGCATCTTGAATCCTGTCAGTTTTACCTGAAATTGCAAATCCCTTCGTGATTTTTGCCTTTCTTCCATCCCCTCCTTCACACCCTTCCCCCTTTTCTGTCCCTTCTTTCCCCCGCACCAACATCACCCCCGCAGTTCGTGATCCTTTTCCTCGCAGTAACGCGTGTACGCGCCACAGCAGCTCCGCTAAACGCAGCGTACACGGAGGAGGAGTTCAAGTTCTATATGGAGGACGCGCTGGCGCGCCTGCTGCTGCTTCCCGAGGGCGGCACTCCCAAGGCTCAGGCGGCCGCTGCCGCCTTGGGAGTACCGGTAGCGCATGCTGGGAGCTTCGGGGGCGAGGTGAGATGAGAGGAGCCACTGCTGCCCGAGAGTGCTACTACTTTCCCACAGCACTACCGCTATCTGAGACCGCTATTGTTTTCTGAGAGCGTTGCTCCCTATGCCTCCTTTTCCAAAACACCTCCCCCCCTCTCCCCTTCGCTTCCTCCTCCATCCATCCCCCCTCGCGCTCTCCCTCTATCCCAGGAAGGATCCCCCCTGCCCCCCCTCCCAGGCCTCTTCACCCTCCCACACGCCCGCATTCCCAACGGAACCCCCTATCTCTCTTCCTCCCACCCCCCTCTGGTCCCCTCTCCTCTCCAGGAAGGAATCCCTTTGCTCCCCTCCCCAGGCCTCTCTGCCCTCCTACACGCCGGCATCCCTAACGGACCCTCCTCCCTCTTTTCCTCTACACCCCCTCCCCCAACCCCCCCCCCCCTTCTCTCTCAGGAAGGAGTCCCCCTGCGCCCATCCGCAGGCCTCTCCGCCGTCCCACCCGCCGACATCCCGGACGGTCCGGGCCCCAGGCCCACACCTCACCCGTCCTCCCCCTTCCCCCTTTCCCCCATTCCCCCCCGTATCCCTCTCGCCTTCCTTCTCAGGAAGGAGTACCGCTGCGTCCATCCGCAGGCCTCTCCGCCCTCCCACCCGCCGACATCCCCGACGGTCCCGGCCCCGGGCCCACACCGGACCCCGCTGATGTGGCGCTCTTCCTGCACACGTCAGGCACGACCAGCTGCCCGAAAGGCGTGCCGCTGACGCACGCCAACCTGGCAGCATCCATTGGGAACATCATAGACACATACGACCTCACTCCTGCAGACCGGTCTTATCTCGTCATGCCTCTGTTCCACGTGCATGGACTCATGGCTGCTCTTCTCGCCTCTCTTTCCTCTGGGGGCTCCGTGGTCCTCCCTGCTTCTGGCCGGTTCTCCGCGTCGACCTTCTGGGACGAAGTGGTGCAGAGTGGTGCCACGTGGTACACCGCGGTGCCGACCATGCACCAGATTCTCCTCTCCCGCCACCGCTCCCACGGCCCACCCACCCTCTCGGGAAAATCTCAGGGTGAATCCACCGGCCCAGTTGCTGCCTACCCGCCTCTGCGTTTCATCCGCAGCTGCAGTGCCAGCCTGGCAGCATCAGTCCTGGAGGAAATGGAAACAGTATTCGGCGCTCCCGTTCTCGAAGCCTATGCTATGACTGAAGCAAGCCACCAAATGACCGCCAACCCTCTCCCTTCCAAGGGATCCCACAAGGCTGGTTCGGTAGGGGTGCCGACAGGAATCGAACTCGCGATCTTGGACGAGCAGGGGAGGGAGCTCGGGGTGGGGGAGCGGGGCGAGGTGTGCATTCGCGGGGCGAACGTTACGGCTGGTTACCGCAGCAACCCGGCGGCGAATGAGGCGGCGTTTGCGTTCGGGTGGTTTCACACGGGGGATGAGGGGAAGAGGGACGAGGAGGGGTATCTTTATCTGACGGGGCGGCTGAAGGAGCTGATCAACAGGGGTGGGGAGAAGATATCGCCTTTGGAGGTGGATGCTGCCCTGCTGGCCGTGAAAGGCGTGGCTGAGGCTGTTGCTTTCTCTGCTCCTGATGCGCACTACGGGGAAGAGGTGAGTGCTTTACTTGAGATTTCCAGGCGCCTCAGACGAGGTGAGTGGGTCAAGCAAGGGAAGGGAGGGTGGGGAAGAGGGACGAGGAGGGGTATGTGTACCTGACGGGGCGGCTGAAGGAGCTGATCAACAGGGGTGGGGAGAAGATATCGCCTTTGGAGGTGGATGCTGCCCTGCTGGCCGTGAAAGGCGTGGCTGAGGCTGTTGCTTTCTCTGCTCCTGATGCGCACTACGGGGAAGAGGTGAGTGCTTTACTTGAGATTTCCAGGCGCCTCAGACGAGGTGAGTGGGTCAAGCAAGGGAAGGGAGGGTGGGGAAGAGGGACGAGGAGGGGTATGTGTACCTGACGGGGCGGCTGAAGGAGCTGATCAACAGGGGTGGGGAGAAGATATCGCCTCTGGAGGTGGATGCTGCCCTGCTGGCCGTGAAGGGCGTGGCTGAGGCTGTTGCCTTCTCTGCTCCTGACGCCCACTACGGGGAAGAGGTGAGGGGTTATGGGGAAGGTGCCGATTTTCCGCGCCACCCTGTATCTCCAAGTCCCTCTCCCGCTATCCTCGCCCTTCGCATCCTGTAACTGTTGCCGCATCTACCCTGCCCTTCACCCTGTAACTCATTACACTTTTCCCTTCCCCAACCCCCCCTTTTCCCAAACCTCTTCCCCCCCGTCCGTCAGGTGAATGCAGCAGTGGTGTTGGAGCCAGGTGTGTCCCTCACCCAGGAGGAGGTGCAGGAGCACCTGAAGAATCACCTGGCGGCCTTCAAGCTGCCCAAGCGCGTCTTCTTTGTGGACCACCTCCCCCGCACCGCCACCGGCAAGATTCAGCGTCGCTTCGTTGCCCAGGCCATGCTCACTGGCGACACCGCTGCTGCTGCTCCTGCTGCTTCTGCCGCACCTGCCGCTGCCGGTACTGCATGATTCTAGTTGGTCGTTTGCAGGTCTAGTGGGTAGGTTGAATTGCCCTCCCCCGCACCGCCACCGGCAAGATTCAGCGTCGCTTCGTTGCCCAGGCCATGCTCACTGGCGAAGGCACTGCTGCTGCTCCTGCTGCAGCTTCGGCTGCTCCTGCTGCTGCTGGTACTGCTTGATTCGATCTGGTCCTTAGCTACTGGGGCCTGTGGTGGGTCGGTCAGATTGCTCCACCTGCTGCTGCTGCTACTTGCTCTTATTGGCCCTACTGGCTCTTAGCTGACACTTAGGGAGATTGGTTGGTAACAGGCGGAGAGGATGATGAACAGCGAGATTAAACAATGCAATTCTGTGAAAACATTTTGTGGCAAATTGTTTGTTGATGTGGTATGCAACCTTGTCTATTTCTCTCTTTCTGTTTTCCTTCCCTTTTTTCAATTCTCTGCTGCCTTCCATCCCATCTCCCGTCTCTCACTTCATCTCTGCTTTCCCTCGTCACTCTAGCCCTTTCCATCCCTATGCTTGCTCCCCAACGCAATTCCAGTAACCTCCTTCCCTGCAGAACCCCTTCCAACAGCCCCTCCTCCTCTGTTACTCTAGACGCCCCTTCTCTCATCGCCATCTCCCTCGCACGTCTCGGCGTCACCCACCTATTCAGAGTTACCAATATCCCTGTCACCGCCGTCGGCACAGCAGCACAGCAGCAGGGAATGCGCTTGCATCCCATGCCTGTTCTCTTGCTTCTCATCCCATCTCTGCTCCCTTTCCCCCTCTTCCTTCACCCCACCCCCTC